ATCTTGCAGGAGGTCAGGAGACTTTACAATGATGTTCACTGAGTAACAGGAGAGAGGATGGTTTCATTGTTTGTGTCAGCTTCCTTGTTTATACTTTCTCCTTGTGGTCTCCGTAGCCGTTATTGTAATGAGCAGGTAAGAGCTGAGGTTTCTTTCCCTGTTAGGATCAGATTTTTCCCTTCGGCCAGCACTGACTGGGCATGCCTTGGATAGAGCTCGTGGCTTTATGACTTCCTGTTACTTGCTCAGCTTGGGCCCCGCTCTCTGCTACGTCCTGCCCATGCTGCTAGTGTCTTCCCCAGGCAGACAAGGCTGTGTTCCGTTTTCCGTTTGCAGCAGCAGCAGCCTTAGACTTGGGCAAGAGGAGTCCTTACCCTGGGTCTTAAGCTTCATGGGATCCTGCTCTGACTCAACTGCAGCTATATCCCCACAAGAGACAGGGAATTCTGTCGAATCAAGGGGTCCCGCCCACAGAGCCTATCCTAGCTTCCATCCTCTGGCCCACAGTCTGAATGCCGCAGGCCTTGCAATTTCTTGCCCAGACGACTCCAGCCTCCTTGTAGGGCCTACGTGGGACTCTCTTTTGAGTCCATCCTCGTATGTATCCTTAGGCCCAAGGGAAGCATGGAAGGAAACTTGACAGACCAAGATGTCCAGACCCATGTAAGGGGTCTTCTCAGTGCGGGATGAAGCTGGAATAGGAAAAGGAGAGGATACGCTGTAGATTGGATATCGAACCCTGGAGTTTGAAATCCTGTATTTCAATCTGGCCTTCTGGGTCGTTATGAAGGTGTATCTGTCAAGGAGAACAGTGCACATTTTACTAAACAGTTCATCAATTTAATTGATCTTTTTAAATGTGTAATTTTTAAATCTAAACGTTGGTGTGTGGGCTTTGCAACTGTTAAGAGCAGACTTGTTCTTTATTTTTCCTCCTTTTGTAGCCCACTCCAACCACTCTTGATTCTTAATTCATACCTCATGGCACCAAAAGAAAAAAAGAAAAGAAAAAGAAGAGGGGAAAGGAAAACTCTGCAACTAGTTAAATAAATTGCACTAAGTCCATATAGTGGACTGCCTGGAAGCCTTTTAAAAAAGAGCGAGGCAGCTCAATTTAGGCTGATACCGGACAGTGGCCTAGAGAGGGTGTGCAGGGGAGAGGAGGGAAGTGAGAGCAGTGTTGAGAGTTTGCTAACAGCCGCTTCCCCCTCATCACCTCCCTCCAGCCCCACTAAACTCATTGCTGTTTCTCCAGCCCTCTCAGCTCAGGTTCTGGCACTTGATGCTCCTTCCATACTGGAATATCCTTTACTTTTCTTTTTTCTTTATGCCAGAGGGTGCATACACAAACATGAAACAAGGAGAGAGAGAGAGAGAGAAAGAGAGAGAGAGAAAGTACCCCCAGACAGAGCCTGGTCACACTGTAATCTTTGTCCCTCTAATTTTTCATCCTGTTAGGTTACTGGGCACAGTGTTTTATCAAGCTGGAACTCGAACCCTGGTCAGCTGTGTGGGATCGGGTTTTCTCTGCGCAGCACTTAACCACGGCGTTATGGGCTGGTCTTCCTGCTGCAACATTCTTGCTGTAGCCTTCTTTCATCCAGATGTCACCGTATCAGGGTGCCTTCCTGAGTACCGCCCCCATGTTTCTTGGCTGTCCTTATTTTCTTCCATAGTAGTTATCGTATTTTGATGTATACATCTAATTGTTTGTATAAAACTTATCTCTACTCCAGGCGTGTGTGTGTGCATACCCAAGATGCCGAGAGGAGACTGTAGGAAAAGGGATTGCAGCATGGCCATTCCTCCCGGGGTGGGGGCTGATTTCTTGCTTTCTCTCTCTGTCTCTCTGGCAAGCACATGCACCCTATAGCAAAAATCTCTCTCTCTAAAAAAAGAAAAAAAGTAACCATTTTATAAAGTGATGGAAGAGTTTTGAAATTAGAGAGAGGTGGGACCAGCAGTTAGCGTAATGGCTATGTCTCTGGACTCCCACGTAGTCAACCGCAGTTCGAGTCCCAGACCCGGTGGCTTAAACTCACGCCAGGTGCGTGTGCGTGCGTGCCCAAGATCCTGAGAGGAGAATGGAGAAGGGATTGCGGTGTGGCCATCCCCCTGGGGGGTGATTTCTCGCTTTCTGTCTCTCTGTCTCTCTGTCTGTTTGGCGAGTGCATGTGTCCTATAGCAAAAACCTCTCCAAAAAAAGAAAAAGAAACTAGAGAGAGGTGGCAATTACATAACATTGTGCTGCGTGCGCACACAAGTGCCTGTGTCCTGACTGGCTGAGGCTGGAGGTGGATTGTGGCATGAAGATCCTATTATGGATGCTGTCTCTCTCTTTTTCATAAAATGAATTAATTAGTTTTTATTTGTTTGTTTGTTTTTTAAAAAAGGATGGGATGGTTACACAAGGGGCTTCCCTTGTGTTGGAAATGTTTTATTTCTTTTTTTCTTTTTTGAGAGGTTTTTGCTATAGGGCGTGTATGCTCACCAGACAGAGAGACAGAAAGTAAGAAATCACCCCCCGGGGGGATGTTCACGCCACAATCCCTTCTCCTCCATTCTCCTCTCGGGATCTTGGGCACGCACGCACACGCGCCCGGCGTGAGTTTTAAACCACCAGGTCCAGGACACGAACTGCAGTCGACTGCGTGGGAGTCCAGCGACATAGCCATTACGCTAACTGCTGGTCCCAAAATGTTTTATTTCTCAAGCTGGCAGTGGGTACTTTTTTTTATACTATTCATTATACCTTTTGGTATGTCTTAAACATTTTCTAATAGCAATTTGGACCTCACACAAATCCAACCTGTTCATTGCCTTGGGATGCAATTACAGGCAGGGGCCCCCCCCCCCCCCCCCCCCCCCCCCCCCATAATGTGGAAGTCCTACATCCCAGTACCTTAGAGTGTAACTGTATTAGGAGGTGAGATCCTTAAAGAGGTTAAAATGAGGTCATCAGGGCAGGCCTAAATCCAGCATGGCTGGTGTCCCTATAAGGTTAAGACATAGACCCACACACAGAGAGAACAGGGAGACCCACACACAGAGAGAACAGGGAGAGCCCCACACACAGAGAACAGGGAGACCCACACACAGAGAGAACAGGGAGACCCCCACACATAGAGAACAGGGAGACCCCCCACACACACACACAGAGAACAGGAAGATCCACACACACACAGAGAACAGGGATCCCCACACACAGAGAACAGGGAGACCCACATACAGAGAGAAGAGGGAGACCCACACACACAGAGAACAGGGAGATCCCCACACACAGAGAGAACAGGGAGACCCACACATAGAGAACAGGGAGACCCCCACACACAGAGAGAACAGGGAGACCCACACACAGAGAGAACAGGGAGACCCACACACAAGAGAACAGGGAGATCCACACACAAGAGAACAGGGAGACCCACACACACAGAGAACAGGGAGATCCCCACACAAGAGAACAGGGGGACCCACACACAGAGAACAGGGAGACCCACACACAGAGAACAGGGAGAAAGCCATCCACACGCCAAAGACCAAGACCTCAGAAGAAACCAACCTGCTGACACCTTAATCTCAAACTCCAACTTCCGGAATTGTGAGCCAATACGATTCTGTTGTTGGAGCCACCTCTGTCTGGGTGCTTTACTCAGGCAGCCCTAGTGAGTGAGTACGGTTCCTTTGCCTCCCCCTTCCCCAGCCCTCCAGGGCTCGGCTTCACTCTTCTGCTTCCCACTCTCCGCCTTATAAATGGCTCCCTGGGTGACCTCCTGGTGCATTCAGCCACCAGAGCAGACAAAGGTGGGAAGGCTGTGATCTGCCATTTGCTGAGGACTCCGTCACTGCCACCCTTCCCAACAGCTTCCATTTTAGCATTTCTTTCTTTTTTTTGGGAGAGGTTTTTTGCTATAAGGAGCGTGCGCTCGCCAGACAGACAGAGAGAGACATAGAGACAGAAAACAAGAAATCACCCCCCAGGGGGGATGGTCATGCCGCAATCCCTTCTCCTCCATTCTCGGGACCTTGGACACGCACACACACGCGCCCGGTGTGAGTTCCAAGCCACCGGGTTCGGGACGCGAACCGCAGTCAACTACGTGGGAGTCCAGCGGCATAGCCATTACACTAACTTCTGGTTCTCCCATTTTAGCGTTTCTAAAACCTGTCTTTCAGGACCTAGTCCTGGACTATGCAGAAGCTAGAAGTCCAGAGGAGAAATAGTGAAAATGCCAGGGGCTTAGAAAAAGATCGATGGGCTGACCAAGGGCCTAATGAGGAGGTGCCCAGTGGGGACTTAACGGGGAGTCACCCACAGTGAGAGGTTGTGTCGTATCTTGGTTACACGCATTGGTCCCAGAACCAGGGTTCAGGTGGCTGGTTTTCATATGCAACTGGGCAGTTTCAGTGCCTGACCCAGCGGCTTGAGAAACACGCTGGGTGCTCATGCATATGTGCCCAAAATCCCAAGGGGAGGAGAGATGAAAGAGAAGGGATTGCAACATGACCGTGTGTGCGCAGGCACGTGCGGGCGCATGGGGGGGCGGGGCGGGTATGGAGACTCTGTGTTATTGGCTCACTTTCTCTGTAAATCTAAAACTAAATCTAAAATTAAAGTCTATTAGGGGCCAGGACTAGAGTGCAGCAGGTAGGTGCTACGTAGAGGAAGTGGATCCCACATGGCCAACCTGGGTTGGGGTCCTGGCCCTGGAGGCTTGAAGAGCACATCTGATACATGTGCTCGTGAAACAGAATGGAGAATTGGAAGAAAAAGGATTGCAGCATGACCAGGTCCCGTTAGGGGACCTCTCCCTCTCTCTCGCTCTCCCTCTCTCTCCCCTTCTCCTGTGTGTGTACATGCCCTCTGACATTGAAATAAATACATAATAAAATGTTTATAAAAGGAAAGTGGGCTAGGGAGGAGAAAAGCCATGGGAACTCTAGCTGTGCCAACCTCCTGGAATTTCAGAGTAGGAAAGGTGGGGTCAGTTCCCCTTCATTTCACCCACACCTAGATCCATAGTGATGGAGGGTCTTTGCCAAACGTCCAGGGCTACCTACTCCACTGCTCCAATCCTACCTGGGACAGGCATTTCTGGAAACCAGGAGTGAGGGTTTCTGGGTCTCCCACCTGATGATATGGTGAAAGAGGTGCCAGCCACTGTGAACCTGGACCATTAAGGAGACTCAGAGACTCCTGGGGTGTCCTGCTACTTTATACCAACTTGTCTACACTGCTTGCTCCCCACCTCCAATCTTCCGAAGAGGAAAGTCTGAACCCCAGCTCCTTTAGGAGATTATGGGACTCCCTATCATCCCTACTCCAATCTGGTTCGGTCCTGCAGAGTAGAAAGTGCAGCCTCAAACACACTCCTTGGGTGTTCTTACTACAGGGACCCCTGAGTGAGAGGCTCCCGTCCACACCGCCTACAGCTTCATTGTGCCGTGTGAATGGGAATCGCCTGGCTCGTCGTGGGAACACAGCTCCTCTACAGCAATTTTATGCTCTTTGTAAAGGACTGTCTTCTTGTTTTTATTGTCCACCTTCCAAGCCAGAGATTCCATGAGGACAAGAACTATCCTTTCTTCTTTGAATCCCCAGAGCTTGACACAGTGGCTAGTCTATAGAAAATGCTTAAGCCATGTAGCCTTGTAGCCGTATGAATACACAGTCGATAGGCAGGAGGCCTAGTCAGCACGGGGTACCCATCGTCATCCCCCTGAGATGAAATCATTTCGGCCCCAGATGAAGACACTTGAAAGGCCAGGCACAGTGGTGTGAGCCTATAATTCCAGCTA